TAAAGGTAATCCACAGGCTGTGGAATGTGAAACGGTATCTGAGGGTTGTATAACTTGCTGGGGTGCACCGGAACATGAAGGTGTTGGATCCTGCGGTGGTTCGGGGATGCAAAATTGACGACAAACCTTGGGTTCGGACACATGGGACCCTTATGCCAAGGGGGAGGGGGTGTGGCTTCGGGTAGAGAAGACCCGAACGACTTGGGTGGGTTTTATGGGTTTCAGCTATAGGGAACCCTACTGCCCGGGGGTGGGTGTTATCTTAGAAGTTATCTTCTTCTTGGAACCCAATTATAAAGCCCACAAGTTATAAAACCCGCAAATCCCGTTTCACGTTCCACAGCCTCCGGATTACGTTTACAACCCAGCTCTCCACTCGAGTCCGGCACTCTCTCCTGAGGAAGGCCAGAGCATTCTGGCCGAAACGTCGACTTTACACTCACTGGTTCTTCTAAAAGCCACACCTCTTCCAAAAGGGATTGATTCCATGGTGTTGCCGCAAGCCTACATCTCGATTGGTGAATGCACTGCCAAAACGCATAATATAATCATCTGAACTGTATTTCATCAGATTTGGATTATTTTAAAATGGCTTTGCAAGCACAATAAACATCGTTAGAGAATTTGAAACGCCCCGTGTGTTTTTTTTATTTTGTATACTATCATTACTAGCGACCACCCCTTTGTTATTAGACTGGTTTTTGGTCCACAAACACGATTGAAAAAGGATTGCATAACCTCTATATATCGGGCCCCATACCATTTTCCAAACTAACTAGAAAAGTTACAATTTACAAACTTCCTGAAACTGTTCAGTTCTATTCACTAATTTATTCTTGAAATAAAACCAAAGGAAACGGGCGTTCCTTACCCCCCCCCAAAAAAAGGGAAAAAGAGATTGCAAAAGGAACAAAAAGAAATGAATAGCGATGATAATCACCACGTTGCTTGGAAAACATCAAAAACTTACCCTTCGCCATTAATTGTTCATTAGTACTTAGCTTGTCCCCACTTGAACGCAAGTAAATTTTGCCCCAAGGGGAAAATGGTTTGCCTTCCCTGGAAAAAATCCTGGTGACCGTACTGCCAAGGGTGGAAAAAAGGGTGTCAAGATGGTTGATTTAAGTTTATACATTGAAGTTCGTGTACGTAGATCCCTAGACTGTTGAATAGCAACACTTCTAGCTGGGTTTCTTTGTTTTATAAGATTAGTGGTATTCAGGATGGGTTGTTTATTGAAGGGGATTATTTTAGCATCACTTATTTTCTTCGGCTGTTAAAGTATCCAAATCAGTTTTGGATTGACATTTTAGAAGTGTGGAGTCATTTTGTTAAGTGTCGTGCCCCTTCGCAAGGGGAGGATGTGCTTGAAAATGTTTTGTGGTACAACCATAGAATTACTATTGGCAATAAATGTATTTTTATAAGCACTGGGCTAAAAAAGAGTTAATTTTGTAAGTGACCTGCTCGAGAGTGAAGGTCACTTCTTTAGCCAAAATACTATATGCTAAAATTTGACATCAGGACCAATTTTTGGAATATGGCGGAGTTATTAATTCCATTAAAAAATCTTTTCGTAGCACATTGTCACGGGTCAACTCTAATATGTGTTTTCCACTAATTCCTTTTAATTTGCAGTTACTTATGCTGAATAGAAAGGGCTCTACTCGTCTTTATTATATTCTTACCTCCGCAATGAAGGTCGTCTGTAGGTTTATTGATAAATGGGAAATGCAGCTGGTTTGTAATCTTCCTCTCACTGAATGGCTGGAGTTATGCAGTTATGCAGTTTGCCCTTTCAGTTAATATGTGATACTAAATTGCGATAGTTTCAATAATAGACTTACAGAACTTGGCCGTTAACTCCTATTTGTTCAAAATTAGGAAAAGAGATAATTGCTTATGTTCTTTTTGTCTAGCTGAGAGTGAAACCTTGATGCATATCTTTTGTACTTGTGAGT